AACTTAGTCATCTGCGATTCATTTTTTTTCGAATCTAAAATATTAGCTTGCTGTGAAGCTTAATATTTAGTAAAGAAGGTAGTTAGTATTGTAAGAACAGCCTGTTTTCAGAACCCTGAGATAATTGGTTTTTTGCACGTGAGTGAGAAAGAGCGTGATGTGAGTTGCACCAATGTCATTGATTTTGATATAAAATGAGTTATTTGCTGAGAAAAATTTATATTTTTATGAAAAAGTAACTTTTTTCTAAATTGCGAAACTTAATATAATATTGTTTGAAGCAAAATTTCACTTCACCTAATATTCCTTTCATTCTGACACACAAAGCACGTTACAAGTATGACTTTAATGAGCCCTGCTCTTATAGCCATTGAAGCGTTTTTCTCATTTTCCACTTGTCACTGAGTTGTGAAATGCAATCATCGGAAAAGAGGCATAAAAACAAAATACGAAAGAAGCATTTATGCATAACTCGCTTGCAGTAAGAATTTCCAACCTTTCCGCTACCCTCTAACTTGGCTTTGTTTTTGCCGCGCGGCTGTTGTCAACGCCACAGTTGCTGTTTTACGCTAGTTGTGCGGCTTTTGCGGTTTAAAAACCCATTAAAAATGTAATTATGTTGATAAATACCTTTTTATTTTGCACAACTTCCGGCCGCTCTCACTAACAGCGCGTTTGCCGCTCCCTTCCAGCTAGCGAATACCACCAACTATGCTCTCTAGTGTCTATTCTTGCAATTTGCTGGCCACTTTTGCCTTCGGGGCACTCAGAGCGTTGTGTGTTGGTTGCATTTCTTTCAGCCACTTACATTCCAATTTCATCCGTCCACACTCTAGTTTCTTCCATTCCAATTCTGGCCACTATAATTTGTGGCTTGTTGGCTCCTATTGCCGTTGTTGTTGTTGTTTCTGTTGTTTTGGTGTTGATGGCCACTTTTGTGCCGACACTTGGCTCTTTGGATGTCACTAATTCAATAAGAGCTGCCGCTTAACTGCGGCCTCCACCGGGTACACACCGTAAAATATTTTATTTCACAAATATTTGCAATTTCTGTGGGGAATATTTTTCAACCGAATAAATTTGTTAGCATGAAGAGACAGCTCAGTTTTTGGTGAATACTTTGCTTAGGGCTTGTGTCGCTGGTGCGTAACATTTCTTTGGCGCTTCAATGCATTTGTGCATTTGTGGTGCAACGAAGTGTTATGAGTGGCAGTCAAGTTAAGTGAAATATTTTGATTCAGCGCTTTATTACCTAATTCCTGAGTCCAATCAAGTTATTTAGGAATTTGTAATAGTGAATTTTTGCAACATTTATAGGTTAGGTATTTTATGCAAACACGCTTCAGGAAATAACTATCTGTCAGTGAAGAAATTGACAATGTTTTGACAATCACTCAAATTATACCGTATTCGAATATCAGAAGTCAGCAATATGTTGTCTGATCCGACAAAAACTTCATATAGGAAAACTATAGATATTGTAAGTTAACGATTATTTTCTCGTTATAGTATCATTAATTGTACGGTCATCACTAACAGAAAAGTATTTATCAAGCTTAAATGGTAAAAAAGATGAAACATGTAAAATACTTCGAACAATGCTAAGAGTCATTTATGATTCACTACTTCAGTTTAAGCCTGCCTTCGTCAATGCCTAATATACTGTAAATAAGTATCATTTCCAGTGGTTTCGAATATTTCGGTATCATAATATTTGTAGGAGTCTAAAATAACCAGTAGAAAACTGAGCTATGCATTTCTTGAATAATTTTGATTGTCCATAAATTAAATTGTAATAGCTTGCACATCTTATCATTCTCATGATTAGAATAGATTTCCAAAAAACATCGAGAGTCAGAGACTACATGATACCACTTTTTAATTGGGAAAGAAGGTTCAAAGTATATATAGAAAGCGATGGTTGGCGTATTGGTATGGTAGCTGCGCGCAAGGATTAAACATTTATAGGCATGACTCGAAAATGGATGACGTAGTTGGTGTTGGGATATATTGTCTAGACTTGGGCATAAGGTAGTTGTTGAAGCTGCCGGACCACTATCCCGGTCTTTGTTATTGGAAAAGCCGCGAGCTAGGCTATAATGCATCAGCAGATAACTTCAGATCTGTAAGCACATCCAAGCAGCAATCAAAGCATATCGACCAGAAATGTCTTGGGGAGCAGGATAGCAGTGGAGAGTGTCGCCAGGACGAAGCGACGTTACTTTTACTGGGTGTCAGGTCACAACGGCACCCTATCTGGTATCATTAAGGACCGAAGCTGGTCTCTGCGTGGCTCATTAGCCAACCAGAGTACCTAACCTAATTCAGGTTAGTTTCAGCTAATCTCCATTCGGCAACCACAGTAGGGCAGTTTCACCATGTCCGTTGGGATGACATAATTCTTGAAACTAAAGAAAACAATAGCCGTCTTCACGCCTGTTATTGGATAGAAACCACTATTATTTATTTAGTGTAATAAGTTCTCTAGATATAGTTGCAGAGGGGCTCGTGAGTTCCAGCAGACCAGCCATAAACAACTGACGCCTCTCCTCCCTCCCAGTTTTTTTTTTTCGTTGAGAGAAGACATAATTTCACAGGAGCTTATTTCGTCTAAATTGGGTTTATGCTCGGTCTTGAAAAATTATTTTAATTGAATACTCTAAATATCTTAAATATTGCAATAAAATTAATTTACATAACGTATACAAACAAATGTAAAAGAGTTACATTCTTCAAGTGAACCACTTTCTTCACCTAAGAATGCCAGCCATTTAAGTCTCATCGATTTCACATTAAAATGATAAAATCGCACAAAACGGCGACACCATTTAAAATATGACATCGAAAATGCGAAGATTCCTCGCCAACGCGTTTAAGAAGATTGCCTTTTCTAGCAAAGTAAACTTCGATAGTAAGAAGGACGAATATTTGTATGTAAGTATGTGTGTGAGAATTTACGAAAAATGCAAAATTAATGACTCTATTAAAATAGAGAGAGAGACAGTGTGGTAGCAAAAGGTATTGCGCCCAAAAAAAAATTGCATAAATTATAAAAAACCCAAATCGACAGATCAAAATATACCTGAAAGACAGATAAAGACACTCGGAGCATTAGCAGCAGAAATAAAGTGGTTTAGGGTGGGTCATACCGTTAATAATTGATTTATTGCTAACGACACTCGCTTCGCATAGCAAACCTGCTCAAATTCATTTACAACAACTTCATTTAATTTTATAAATCAATTTGGATTTTTGCGAACGAATTTCTTTATTGGAAATTGAAAACCATTCGCTTGGAATTGAAATCGAATATTTTTTGACAGGCGAGAAGAAAATGCTGCAACAAAGCCAACGCAGATTGACAAACATATCTACATTTATATGTAAGGGTATTCAAAGTCAAAGGAGAGTCAAAGGCGACTCATATTGCACGCATGAAAAATGCACGGCAACACAACCTCTCCAACCTTACGCCGCCTGACTTGCACTACCAATGCACTGTGTGTAAGTATGTATGTGTGCGTAGTTGTGGAGAGTATTGCATTGCACATTTTTATGAGCACTTCGTGCAACTATATACCCTCATTGGAATGCCTTTATGACGCTCACTGCCGTTGGCACTTATCATCTTCCTCTTCTTCCATACTTCCGTCACCGCTTTGCCATCTTCGCAAGTCTTTATGTAGGCGCCTGTGTGTGTGTGTGGTGTTTTAGTGTGCGTGCGCTTTCCTTGAAGCAGTTGACTTTTCTGTATGCTCAGCACGTTGCTGCCAATGTCCGATTTTTAAGTTGTTGCAGCAGAAATCACGTAGCCGAACGTTTGGCTGTTCTCTTTGCTTTTGCCACATTGGAAGGGTAAATAATGTCGATGATTTGAGTTGAGATTTTCGCACGAACTGAGGAATACGATTGCAGAATTGCATTAACTTGTGAGTGCATTATCTGAACAGTGAGTTAGAATTGCATAAATATGAAACAAACGTATCAATATTTAAAAAGTACTTGTATATAATAATATAATTTTCTTAAAGTTGGAAGATTTTAAAATTTCTATGAAAATAAAAAAAATAAAGTGAAAATAGTCAGAGCAAAAAATATATTAATTTTAAAAAAATTAATTTCTAGCTAAAAAAAAATATTTGAAAAAAACTTTTTAGTTCCGAATTTCGTGACAATATCTTGTCAAATCAAAAATTTTTTCATATAAAGACTTCAGTTTGGTTGATCAGTTTGTATGGCAGCTATATCGTATAGTGGTCCAACATCGGCGGTTCGGACAAATGAGTGGCCTATTGGAGAGAAATGGACTTGTAGAAAATTTCAGATCGATATCTTAAAACTGAGGGACTAGTTCGTGTATATACAGATAGACGAACACGGCTAAATCGACTCACCTCGTAAAGTTAATTATTTATAGGTACATATTATAGATCAGATTTGTGTTATATAAAAATTTGGTATAGATGAATATATATTTGCGCTTTTTCGATTTTCTTCAGTAGGGCTGCCATGTTTTAAAATTTTAGAGAATGTTATTTAACTATGTAGTGGCCATTTTTCTCTGCAGAGTTGCCGTTTTATTTAATTTTTTGAGAATATTATTTAACTACTTTTTGGGAGTTTTTCTCGTTCGTGTTAGCATTTTATTGTTTTCCATACTTTATGAGAATATAATCTAACTTTTTTAGAACATTTCTCCTACTCTAACGATACAATTATAGACATATTAAAAACATTTTTGTACCACTGTGCCGCACACAATCATTTAATATACCACTGAAGCACTTAACCTATTTGTAGATGGCTTACCAGAATGGCTAAAAGGATTTTGCGAATATTATTGTTTTACTTCTCCTAAGGCAATAGCAATTTTATGATTTGTTTATAGCTGATTGCATGGTTGCCTTCTAGAATTAAAAGATAACTGCAAAAACAGATATTTTCTACTTAAAATGTTTTCTTTTTGCTGAGAAATGAAAAAACTTAGTTAATTTAGTTATTAAATAGTGAGTACATAACATTTATTGTTTATATAAAATCGCAATGGTAATGACATAACAAATGTGTTAGTAGAATAAACATAAAACAACAAGAACAAAAAACCTGAAATAATAAAAATTAAACTCAAACTCGTTGAACAGTTCCGTAGTACAGTTTTATACAACAACAAAAGCGTGCTTAGAAACCCCAGTGTGTGCCGAAACCATCGAAGCTCATGTGCGAAACCATCTCAGCGGGTGAGTAGTGCACAGTTTGACTGGAACCATAAGCGGCGACAGATGGTGAATTGTGGGTGTAAGTGGTGGCAGCTGGACCATGGTTGTAGGTGGTGGTGGACACTGGAGCAGCTTCATGCTGGTAAACCTGAGCCGGCGCAGCGTAGCTAACGGTTTTGGTCACAGGAGTCTCATGATGATACAACTGATGAACGGGAGCGGCATAGCTAACGGTTTTGGTCACAGCTGGAGCGGCATAAGTCACAGTTTTGGCCACAGCTGGAGCGGCATGGGTGTAAACAGCAGCTGTTGGTGCTGGTTCGTCGTGCTCATACACGGCAGGTGCGGCTTCATGGTGTTCATAAACGGTTTGCGAAGCCGGTGCAGCGTAGGTGACAGTCTTAGCGACGGTTGGTGTGTAGACGTTGTTGCTGATGCGTGTGTCCGATTTGTGTACGCTGGAATAGGGGGTTTCGATGTTCTTCGAGTGGTGAGAGACAGTACCGCCAAAGGAGCGTACCACATTCTGGTGTGTCGCGGCGACGGCATCCACAGCGGGATTGACAACATGCGCATAGCTGACGGGATGATGAAATACGCCGGCACTGGCGACGGCCAAAATTGCTGAGAGTACAATGAATTTGAATGGCATTTTGTGGAGCTTATTGGTTTTGATCCCTTGCTGTTGTGAATTAATAATCCAAGTGTTTGGCTGTAAGCTGTTGCTCTAAGCGTTGTGAAGCTGAAATGGGAACTGATGCTGTTGCCAAAGCACACGGGGCGTTTTATAGTAATTACAGGCAATTTTCAGTTCAAACATATTATTTAATAATTTTATAATCACAAATCTTTATTACACAAACAAATATGTGGGTGTGCATTAGCAATGCAAAGTGCCGCATTACATAGCATAATTCGTTGACTTTGACTTTTGGCATTATACATATTTTTTGGTTTATCAAAAATAACTTTTTGTTGTTCAAATGGCACGCTTCATAAATCTTAACAATTTTTTTCAATGTTACCCATTAACAATATAAAAGAAACCGCAATTAAGAAATCTCGGTTTACTTTATACACAATTGTTTTTTCGTTTTCACCTTATCTTTGCCGATATATTGTATTTGCCGTATTCCAGTTTGTACTTGTCATTTCGACCGCCACATTAGTGGCAGCGGCATTACAAATCAATTTTGCCACCTACAAATCTAATCACACCTAGCTCATGGTCGTGCTCACGAGCAGCCAATGCGAATTGGCCTAGTGAACGAGCGATGTCGATCGAGGTTGGTTAGCGATCAGCTGGCGTAAGTTGTGTTGTGCTTATCAAATATTCAAAGGCATAATTTAACCTAACGTACGAGTTGTTGTTTTGTTTTACCGTTAATCGTTTATATCACCATATCTTATATACATTATGTTTATAAGATTATCTCTAGATAATATACAAATTAATTTTATGGAAATGCATCAAATTTCTCGAGATTAATCCTTTCGTTGTAAATGAAACATTTAAGAACACTCTTTAAATAATATCTATAAATAAGTACTTGAATAGAGTAGAGCATAAGGTGGTTGGTTGCTTGAAAGAGGAGGATGATCCCCTAAGATCAGAAGGAAATATCTTGAAAGCTTTGAACGAGGTTTTTCGATTTCCAAACATTTCTATTGTGGAAACAAACAGAATCGTTGCTCTTATATATTATATCATCATCCACCGTTTAGCGCATTCTACTCAAGCCAACCTATGGAGGCCACACCGATGGCTGCTATCTCTGTGTTTATTCGCTTTTATTCAATTACAATACATACTTTTTTATAGAATTCTTGTTAGTGCATATTTTCTTTGAACTTTTTTGAAATTTCCTCGAATTTGATAGTGCTTAGTGCATGTAAATAAGGCAGATTCACTGAAGTTCGAAATATATATTGATAAAATACGTATCATCATTTTTGAAAAATGGTAGAGCTTCATCATGAACAAACTAAAATTTTCTGTTTACTGTATGCAGTATATATTGCAGTCTTAAAATTTTTTTTTCTATTTTCACATCTCCGATTACTTAACCACACAAAGACTTGGATATACTTCTTAATCGGAATGTTAATGTATAGTATAAATTCTTCTTATATTAACTTCCATTGGTGATTGGTCTGAGTGACTCAAAAAAGTATTGATGATGATCCAAAAATGTCCATAAAACGATTATGTAGCTATATTCGGTTCGCCGTTTCCCGACTTCCTTTGATTGAGCTCGCTACAATTAATTTGTGAAAGTAATAATTGGGTCATTCCATGTCTAAACGACAAATATTTGGACACGAGCCCCACCGATCCGAATGAATTTTAGTGGAGAGTTTTATCTTATCATAAAACGAAGTTCTGCCAAAGGCAAACATTTTAAAATTTTAATTATAATTATAATTATTATTATATAATTATTTGAATTCGGTACAAGAGAGTCTACAGACCCCTTAAGAAAGTGGTATAATTTCTTTCTATTCAATATTTATTTGCTTTTTTGCCATTTTATTTATGGTAATTTATATTAGTTGTTTGTTCTATTCACCCTCCAATAAATTTGCTTGCTTATTTGAAGGTAAGTATACATAAATCAAGAAGAAGTTTTAAGATATTTTTATTTCTTTACAGAAGAATGAATAAATAAAAATGTGAGGCCTAGATACATATACCAAAAAATAAAAATTTTAACTTCGGTTGCACCGGAGCTATATTCCTTCTTCATTTATAAGCATTTCAAAGCTTCTAAATATAACCATTTATTCCTTAACTTTTTTTATAAAGCTGAAATTGTCTTAAGCATGTACACTATAGCTAGTTACTCTTTAAAAATATATTGGGTAAACATAGAATGTCTTAACATAATTTCTTGTTGAATTAGTACAGTCAATGTTTGATTCCTTGGCGATTTGTAGCATCTCTCTCCTCCACAACCAATTAAGTGCGGACTGCACACATGATATAATAGAAATATGTATAACGTTTTATATTGTACGTACATGTTATATGTGTATGTATATGTGTATATCTCTATATATATTATATATAGATGTATATGTGTGTGCAAATGGTTATTACCCACTATACTATGAATGCATTGAGTTTTGTTTTATTGTCCATGCGGGAACATAACGGCGATTCCATTACTTCGCTTGATTTAATTTGATGAGAGAATTGGGTACTCGTATTCGATTGAATTGTAAAGCATTGCGAAAGCTTACTAACGCATGCCCTGTAGGAAATTTTATGATAACGTAAATTTTGACATTTCATAAATTTTTAAATGTTTTTTTTTTTATTTGTAATTTTGTTTAAGATCCAGAAATAGTTTTTAGGGTTATTTTGTATTTTTATGTGATATTTTTGTACACAAAATTTTCTTTTTTGATCTAAATAGCTGCAATTTTAAATTTGAATTAATTCTATTTTTGTGAAAAAGTTTTTCATTCATTTTCATTGAAAAAATTTAGTCAATCCAAAAAGCTTTTTTGACCCTCTAATCTTCTTATCTTTAAAATGTTGTATGCGTGGCGTGCTGATATTTTTCCGAATAGGTATCCATCACTTGAATAAACTACTAAAATTGCTATTATTATTTTCTCTCTAACATAACACAATGTAGCTTTTGATATTATTATTATATAATATTATTTGTGGATTGGCGCGTTCAGAAGAGTGGTAGACTGAGACAAAGACTTAATATTGGAGCTGTTGGGGAAACTTGCATTTAAGCTTAATTTTAAGCACAAAAGTGCTATTTATCTTAAAATTTTTGTATTGATTTCGCATTAAACTGATGTCAAGACTATTGTATAAAAGTTTATATGATGTAAGGAGTCTTTCACATAGCTCATTTCCTGCTATATACATATGTCCTATAAAGAGGTCGAAGAAAGGCAGGAATATGAGAATATTTGAAATAGGTCATTTGAATCGAACACGAATAGGTTTGTGATATTTTAGATGATAATTCAGATGAATAGATTAGGGTATTAGAAGCAAGAAGATGTAATTTCCAAGTCCTTTCCAAGCCTTCGGAATGGACACCCATCATTTTACACTTTTTTTTAGAGAATTGTCATCCAACCAGTGACCTCGTTTATGCTGTCGTGTCACAAGATAAAGATATGATCTACAAGTGTTGAATTCTTTATTTCTGAACAAAACTATTACTGCATAAGCCTTACATAATATTCGTGATAATATTTGGTCCAAATGCTGTGATGATGAGTTATGGGCGTTCGATAATATATTCTGCGAAAGTCTAATTAATATTTATGTATTAATGATAACTGTCTCAACTTTGCTTTCTTCGCTGAAAAAGAGATATACCATGGATAAGTTAAGCCCTTCAGCTTGTTAAAAATCCATGGAAAGTAAGGAAGAATTTCTAGAAATTAAATTTTAAATTTTTATGGAAAATCGATTTCTTGGATCTGGGTTCTTTTTCGGTTTCCACAGTTCAGTCGAAAGGAAAATACATTTTCGTATTTTTAAATGCACTGGTCTCGAATTTACATATGGCTCGTACTAGTACTCATTTAGTACTCTGAAGTACTTCTATTTTTAAATTTATCACTTAAGAAACTTGGTTTTGTAATTATCACAAATTCCCACTTTCTTTCGGCACTACTTCGTTTTTACAGAAAATTTGATTAAATGTTGGATTATTTGTAAACGACCCCAAAAATAGCAACAATAAAAAACGACATTAAAAAAGTACTTCCTGACAAAAACAAAAAAATAACGAAGGACTGGCAAAGAAACTACCATAAATACAATTACACGTGAAAATCGAGGGTGAAACATTTGTAGATAGAAAGTGAATGGGCGGGTGGGCGTAAAAATTAATTTCCTACTGCAATTTTGATTGTGAATAGGGTGGACGGACACAAACATATACTGCGCCAACATTTTCACTTGCCGTCACTTTTCCCATGTTTTTGTTGTTGTTTATTGTTTTTTAAAACTTTTTTTGTTGCGACAATTTCATTATGCGACGCTTAATTTCGCCTGCTGCTCACTGCGCAGCATTACGACTTGAACTTGTACTTCCAAGCTCATTTAGTCAATAATGATGTTGTTATTGTTATTATTATAATCACTTTTTTAACTTTTCATTTTCTAGTTTACATTTTTATTGTGCTTTTTTGTATTTTCCATTTGGTTTTCAATAAATTTATTTTCATTGCAATGATTGTTGTCGCTTTCTTCCGTTTTCCATTAACTTTTTGCTGATTTTCCATCGCGACAAATTCATGAATGGCAAGGTACTTTCATTGTTGTTGGTAAAATATTTAATAATCTTAAAGATTAAAATTATATATTTGGGCTCGCTTGCCTTCCAGCACGCCAGAAAAGTGATACAAATGCGAACAACCAGGGCGTGAGTCTCCTTTTCTCTACATAACAATTTCTTTGGTTTCTTTCTATGTCAGTTACTAACAGATATCATAGAAAAATAGTCTTAAATTCTAAATACAATTGTGTTAAATTAAGGGTCATGCAGTGAACCTCCCTCCCCCCTTCATTAAAACCTGCCTTAAATATATTTTGTTACTGCTTTTATTTTTTCTTTCACATATACTTTAATACTGTATATTTATATATTAATATCTGTACTCTAATAACTGGGTGTTAACTCCCCGAGTACTGGCTAAGCGATATGGCGTTCGTTGAAAACTCATTAAAACTTTTTTTACAGCCCATTTAAAAGCAATTTGTAAATTGTGAAACTTCCACTGACCGGGAATAAAAAAAAAAGATTTTATTTGCAATATTGTTGAGTTTTTTAATAATTGTTTTCTGTTTCTGTGTATTTACACTATATTGTTTTTTTTTTGGTTTGCATTTTGTGTTATCCTTGCTGGCTTCGAAAAGTTTCACATCATTTATGTGATAGATGAAGTCGCGTAACTCGCGGAAAGTTGACTTGACTATAAAATATTATCATGAAGTGGCGGCAAAATAAATAGTAACTACCATACATTCGAAGTCGTGAGAGTTAAGAGTAACTAAGTGGTGAATAAACGGATGGGATGTGAAGAGAGAAGATGCGAAGCTCTATACAGATCTGTGCCTTATGGAATGAGACAAAAATTTTCAACAAAAATATTTACTTGAATCGTTAAAACTTCAATGATATAATGGTTTGATGAGTCTCTTACCAAGAGATGTCAAAAGATAATATGTTATAGATAATTTTTAAGTTCGATACCTTGTATCAAGAGTTAGTTTTTTAAGAAACAGAAGTTGTATGTGCCAAATTGAGAAAGCTAATCTTTACAATATCTTTCTAAATAAAAAGTACATACAAGGACTTGATTCTGACTGATCACTTTGTGTAGCATGTCCCTTTTGTTTACATTTTGCCGAGGTTAATGAACCTTTTGTTTACATTTAGCCAGGTCCAAAACCTTTTGTTACATTTAGTCCAGTCAACCACCTTTGTTTACAATAAATGGGGTTAATACCCCTTTGTTTACATCTTATGGGGTCAATGACCTCTTTGGCAGCTATTTGTGAACTTTGTTTAAAAGTATATCATTGTTTTCCTTTTTGATTGAAAATATAAAAGTGGTAATTTGTTTTTAGATCTTTTTTTTGTAATTTTTTTAGAATTAAGTTTGCCATATAATATGTAATACCCAGTAGGAAACGTCCGGGTGGTCCTATAAAATATATATACCTTCACAAATACCAAATATTCCTTGCAGGAACTTGATTTCGATTTGTTAGTAATAATATATGCTAAATTTTTAGAAGATATCTCCTCAAATCGAAAAAAAATTTCCATACAAGCACTTGATTTCGATCATTCAGTTTGTATGGTAGCTATATGGTATGCTATAGTGGTTCGATTAGAACAATTCCGATATCAGCGGTTCCGACAAATGTGAAGCTTCTTAAGGAGAAAAGGACGTGTGCAAAATTTCAAATCGATATCTCAAAAACTAAGGGACTAGTTCGCATATATACAGACGGTCAGACCGACATGGCAAAATCGACTCAGCTCGTCACGCTGAACATTTATATACAAATACTTTATAGGTCTTCTGACGTTTCCTTCTGGATGTTACTAACTTCATGACAAACTTAATATACCCTGTTGAGGATAGAATGTCTGACCAATTTTTGTGCTTTTCATTCTGATTAATTTTTGTTATTTATTTTTAATTGTTTAATAAAAATCTGCTGTGAGGAGATACCTTCAAGCTAAGTAAGTGTGAAGGCACATAAGTACTTGGAAAGTAATCATCATTAGAATAGCAAAGCTTAATTTTTCCGTTGCTACTCAAACCGCAATATGTTTTACTTATAACAATTTTCACCAAAGCTGACATATAAACACATAACGTTAAGTATACTGTTATACCACACATACTTACAGTCCACACATTGCAGCCAAGCTGGCATAAAACACTTGGGCAGTAAATTTTTATATCGAAACCAATCAAAGGCTTATTGCTCCCACATTCATCTTTGGCAGTCGCACTTTAGCGCAGCCAACATAACTACACACATACTAGCATACAAAAACAATTGGAAACTGTAGCACCTAGATGAAATATTAACCAACATACGGGGCTCCAATGGCTTACATACACCAATACATGCACCAACACATAAACACACACGCGAAAGTGAAAAAAAAAATAAACTCGAAGCGCTGCAAAATTATTGCCGGCAGTTAATCTTCTGACAACAGCAAAAGACGAATCAACGAAGCCTGAAGTACCGCCTGGCGGTCATTTGTTGTGTAACTACAACTACAACAACAAAAGCAACAGCAACAGCAAATAAAACAGCAAATAGTAATAGTAATGTTCGCACATTACCACAAAAGTTGCAACGTGACATGCGCTACAAGGCTTAGAGGTGAGTCGGTAGAGGATACGTAATGCCTGGCACGGGAGTTAAATGAGACGTTTCGTAATATCCTGACGCACACACATACATAAAAGCGGGCTCCTTTCCTTTAAGTTACACTACAACTTTGAGGAGCTCAGGTTTATTGCTGTTTTTGTTGTTGTTGTGATTTTTTATTGTTTATTTGTGCTAGAGCTGGTTGGCGAATGCGTTTCTGTTTCCGACTTTTAATTTATGTTTCAATTCCAATTAGCTAAGAAAGCGCATTTTCTTTCTATATGGCGCGCTCAGGCGTTTGTGTGACCAACAACGAGCGCAAACGTTGAAAATTAGTTCAATGCAATGGCGCGAGAAAGCCAGAGGTGCAAGTGACAGGGATAAAGAATCGCCGATGGGTGGGAAGAATGCAGTGCAGGCATTTAGGAGAGTGCAATGGAATTCTGTGGGTTCGAAGTGATGACCTTGTTGAGAACTTATAATAGAATGACGTCGAAAGCTTTCTTTAAAAAAATTTAATTGTATGAGCAAAATATTTTATTAAAAGTGTAAATATTGAATGAACTGTTATTATCTTTAATTTTTTATAACTTTCTTCTATTAAAAAAATTCTTTTTAGAAATGCGCCAAAAGGTAGGCAACAATTTCCGGCGGTGTTCTCAGTATACCCAATTTATTACGCTACACTTTTTTAACGGGAAAACTGAAGAAGTGGCTCGATTGAGAATTGCTTGAGAAGAACTAATTGTTAGAGAAATTGACAACGTAAAATATATTAATTTGATCAGCTCAAAAATAAATAAGAGAGTGCTCTTTTTCTTTCCTTTATTTCTCTTTCATTCTCTTTCTATCTCGCAATTTAGAAACCAAAATATATGCTACGAGAAATTCGAAATTTTTGATTACAGAATTCTCTTTCTAACTTCAAACTCTATCTTCAATTAAATTTGCAGACTTTTCCTATTGGGTATGCCATATAACATAGTAAAGTAGGACTTCAATGTCTTGTGTATAATTGACTTTTCTACTTTTGTTCATTTCACACACTAAACGTCATTTGTAATTGGATACAATAACATTAAGAAAAGAACAATAGAAATGAAGCATAGGGCAGACTATAACAAAGTGGCCACGGCAATCAGAAATAAAGCTTAAGCATACAAACATATGTATATATACATTTGTAAATAAATATAAGAACTGCTGATGATTAGCAGTTATACTAGACAGCTCGTGGAAAGACCTGAATATATAAGACTATGCAAGAAGCTATTAAAAGTCTTAACTAACTCGGAAAATGTATTTCTTTAATATCCTATTCGGTTTCCTATTGAGTATGTTTCTAAAAAATACTTTTCTAAGAAGAAAAAATTATAATACCTTTATAATCATAATGTAAACTCCCTAGGAATAAAAATGATTGTGAGAACCCTAGAAAAAATTATATTTTAACTTAAAAATATTTTTAATGATTTCAGACGTTGCTTAAAAAATACTGAAAACTGCGCAAAACCAACAAGAAGTCTCATCAGACTCAGAAATTTGACATTACATTATTCAAGCATTCTAAGAAATAAAATTTGCTTCCAATTTAAAGATATTTTAATGGGTGAATTAAACTTTTTAAAAATTTCGGAAACCACATAATTTACATGTATACATAACGTATATGAACCGTGTTACAAAACATTTCGAAAGCTTTTACTGAATGAAGGTTGCCTATCGAAAGACACTATAATTCTAGTATATTTCTGCCTTGTAAAAGTTTCTCATAAGCCAATTCCCATTTGGAGGCAGCCTAAAACTTATTTGTATCTGCTATTGTCCGCAATCATCTACATAGCTGCACACCAAAAATGTGTACGAAACTCGCAAATATCTAATAAAGGTAGAGTTTTATTAATAAGATTCACTCAAGATCAAATTTGACCCAGACTGTTCCATATAAAGTGTCCGAATCGATTAATTTTTTTCCCACATAGGTACAACCTTTTTTATGTTCGTGTAAAGTTTGACCTCAACATGTCAACTGGTTTATCTTTGTCAGCTGTTTATTTACCACGCGAAAAGTTTGACTGACGTAAAACCATGAACATGAAAAAAAAATGTCTCTTCAATTAGAACCATACGCTTAAGAAATCATTGAAAATGTTGCAGAAGTATTTTGTTGAGTATATCTTATCAAGAATACAAGTACTTGAGGGGCACAGAGTATACAGTGAGGGTTGTCAGGTCACCTCAAACATGCTTCATGCGAGTCGTTTATCCAACTCTGTTAATGACGATAACATCGATAAAGTTAAAGAAACAGTGCTGGAAAATAGATAGCAGAGGATCTCAACATCTCTTACAGATCAAATCAACACATTTTGGTTAATGCTTTTGGTACTAAGCGTGTCAATACTAGATTCCAACAAAAATTCTTGAATGTGCCATAACATATCCTAAACAAATTAATTAAATATAATCTTCTTACTTAACTATCATAGAAATAATACCTTAGGGTCTATTTGTCAATTTTACATATATACTGTACTATTACAGTACTACAATTAAAACTACAAAAAACTATTCTTCTAATTAATAATTTATTCATTACTTAATACCTTACCAGACAGTTAAAAAAAGAAATTTTAAGATAACACATAAAAATAATGATAAAATCCACAGTAAATATATTTTTGGCATAGAAAGGCTTACACAAATATTTTGTTTTTCGCGATAATTTTTGTGGCATGCAAAAGTTTTCTGATATAAAGTATTCTCGATCGCAGTTAAAGACCCAAATTTAGCGGATTTTCAATTTTGCGATAATGGATTTTTTTTTTATAAATCTCCATTATATTTGTAAACACAACACATTGTTCGCAAATAAGTTGCTCGATCAAATTTGTTGATAACAGTACTATTATCAATTTACAGTTAAGCGACATTTAATCCAACAATTATGTTTTCGTGTTTTTTGTTCGTTGACATTAATATTATAAAAGCGTACTGTAGCCAAACGAATTTCAGTCACAACTGTTTCTATCAAACAAACCTATCATAATGAAGTTAGCTGTACTTGCGCTCGCCTTAGTCCTGTGCGTGGCATTCGCCGCGGTAAATACTACGACATTTGCTTACTTAACATAGTCAATCATCGAAAATATTGATATCCTTTCTTTCTCAGGCCGATATCGATTACTCTGTTGAGGATAATGAAATAGAGGAGTTCGCTCCTTTGGGGCTCGCCGACGAACTTGGCGAGGTGGATACATTCAGCGTGCTTGGTATATTATGGTCTGCCCTCACTGGCGGTTTGCGTACACTCAAAGGCATCAATTGCACCATACGCCGTGTGATGAGCATACGCGATGAAGGCGTTAATTTCCTCAATGCCTTTAAAGGCTGTAATAGTGCCGCCTTTAAGGACCTGAACGTTGTGCTTAGTCAAGTACGAACTGTGGTGAAGACGTCCAATGATATTATCCATTTGAACAGCAACGTTTGCAAAAATGGAGCTCTCGATGATCAGGCTGATGCCAAGAAGAATACTCCTTTCGTCTGTTTCTTTAAGGTGTTGGGTAAAATATTGTCGCTGAAAAATCAAATTGGTAAGACAATTACCTTGTCGAAGAAGTTGTCATCCACACCGGGCACCTATGGCACGTGCAATATCGACTCAGTAGGCGACTTGGTTTCGGTATTCACACAATTCCCGTCTTACGTGAAGACTTGCTCAAAGTTGAGAAATTAAACTATGAAGTTCTTGTTTGCTGTAAATTTTGATATTGCAAAGAATAAATAGAAATTGCTTTGCGTGTGCATTAAAATTTGGTGGTTTCATTTTGATCGTGGTTTCTGTAAGGATGAGTAGAACCGAAGTTCATCTTTGAAGACCAGTTTTTATTTTAAATAATTAATTTTTGCCGAGACTTAGGTTAAGTATGGTTATCAGAGGCACCTATTATTATTACGATTAAATGCTTGAATGATCGGTTCAGAGAGACCACATCAAAATAGCTTGGTAAATACCTGAAATGCTTCTTTTTGGAGAACGCTACAGTTTAAGAATGATTATATAGTTTTATAGAATACAAAAGTGTACCCGGATTTGAAGTTAATAGTGCACTGATTTTCTGAATTAATTTTTATCTTAACATCACTTTTGTCTTACTGAGACAACACAAAACAGTTAAGTTGAGTGATGCTTCTTGAGTGAAAGGTCTATTTGAAGCGAGCCTTATATCACGTTCCTTTAAGATCTAATGAATTGTATCACTGATTCTTGGTTGTCTAAATTACATACTTTTTAAATGTTCGAAACTGAAATGGTCGCTTATTTGTATAAGCTAAATGTATTTTTATATGATATTTTAGGTCAGCTATTTAAAAGGGGGGAATACTTCGAAAGTTATCAGAAGAGTTTGACTTGAGATCTGTAGTCCATTAAATAGTTTTTTCATTTCTATCAATAAAATATGAGTCAAAAGGTAGGTAGACACTCTTGCTTAAGTCCATTTGCATTTTTATTATGCTTTAAATTCTACTTAAATTCACGAAGTCACCAAAAGTAATTGTGCAATTATTATGAACTGAACTCACATTGTAGTGAAGGCTTAGGCGGAAGGTGTATAAAATACGGTAATTGCCAGCAAGCTTCCACACCTTCGTATATACATACATATATGTTTGGACCCGCACATACTCGTATCTGTTAGAGTAAGCGCTTTGAGTTACCAAATAACCAACATAATTTTCGGCAACAACGGAAACGGAAATAAAATCAAGCACAAATGTAATAATACAATTTTATGACATTTTGCAAATGCCATTTACTATAAATGTGCCTTTACGTACATTTTCACATGTATTTAGGCACATCTGTACTACTTTTTCGGGCATTATATACATATGTATACCTGAAGAAGTAGTACAGATGATATACTCATATACAATATAAGAATATACAAACAGTTTTTCGTGCCCAGCAGGAACAATTTTCAACAACTCGTTAGTTTTCGATATGAATGCGCCAAAATGTAGGCAACAATACAGAAAAAACTTTGTGGCTGAACACAATGTATTGTTTAAGCTGAAAAATATTGTGAGATGTACAGTTTGGGGTACATGCTGAGTAAACTTATTTGTTGTTTAAGTATAAAGACTAAAAATTAGCAAAATTAAAATTGTTTCGAAGTTTTCTGCTTAAATGAAAATTCGATCAGTATATTCAATATTCACAAGAATTTGGACGATAATATGTAACTTCAATAATTTTCCCTTAGGGTGTGTAAGCTGACAATGAGCTTTAGTGTGATAGCATAAAGTCGGCGTATTTATATATAAACACATTTAGAAGAACCAACGTGGTAAGGTATGTACATATAAGTTTATTGAAGCCCATAAGTCATAAACAAAAGAACGTTCATAGATAATCATAACGTTGGTGCAGATGTACGCGTATATACTCGTGAGCAATTCATATGAATGCAATTTATATAGACACTCATACATATTATGGAGTACAGGGTGAGTGAGAAGGAGTGGAATATTTTGAAATACAGAAAGCAGTTTTCTAATATTCATGGGATATCACTTAAGTGTTTACATTTGGCGCTTAAAAGTATGCATTTAAAAAATCCTAGTTGCCTACATTTTGGCGCAGCTAAACTTAAGTGATAGAAAAATCATTTGCGGTTTTAGAAACTTTATTTTTTGCAAATTCTTGTTGTAATCATTTTAATAATCGCATTTTTTGGATATGATATAATTTTTTTAAGTTTTCTAGGATCTTTGAGTTTAAAATAGCATTGGTTCGTTGGAAATTACTTGTGTACAGCAGATGACTTTTATGAAAAATTATATTGTTAAGCTTTCTTTCTTAAATGTTTCTCTAATTTCGAATCTTTGTCTGACTTTAACCACAGGAGAATCTACTTTTACTGAACAGTATTTCTATAGACTCGAAGGATCTATGCCTTGGAATCCCCGAATATTGACTATATGGTAAAGAATATAATTTGTAAGGTTAATCTCGAAAAAGCCTACAAGTTTCAGTGATAACATATGCGAAAAAATGCATACTAAATTCTTCTGACTGCCTCACAAACTAGACGTCTGATTCAACATATTTCCGATACACCCTGTTTGTTTAAGACCATAAACGATATGGCTTTGCCTTTAAGGAATCGACAGGTGCCAGTAAATGTAGTGACAATAAATGAGCGCTGACGAGCAGAGACAAACAAACTCTAATACACACACACAGGCATAACGGCTGCTTATGGCGATATATCAAAGGTGAACTTGTGAATTGCGCAAACGATTGCCTAGGGGAGGTGCGGTGGGCATCAAAATGATTTACTGGCGAGAGCAGAACAATTGTGAATTGCCATAATTTCATTATTATATTTCTGTTTCTGTGTTGTGCTAGTATATATGTATGCATATATAAAAACATATAAATATTTGTATGAACGTAATATTATTTAGTGAAGAAGCTGAAAAAAGTACCGTTAGATGTAAATGAAAAATACATGCAGGTATATGGAATAACAAGAAAGGTTGGATGCAGTTCGGCTGGAACTCAGTAATTTGAGTTTTCCATACAAGTACTTGATTACACATAGTTTGCTCAGGGTTTAAATAGCGTTTAAGATTAGTTGAGAAAAAATATCTTTGTTAAGGAAACGTCGTCCTATTTTTAAGGTTATGCTTACTACTAAATACCAAATTATGAGCGCTGTCAGATATGCTGCTGTCAAATAGATATTAGGTGTCAATCCGATGACTGCTGTCAGACGGCAGTCAAATGACGGCTTCATAAATATCGGAATGCTGTCAAATGTTTTCAGACAGGCTTCTACAAGTTGGCTGCTGTTAGATGATCTCTGTCAGATAATATGTGTTGTCAGTTAATTTATTATGGTAGACATCAGATGTTTGTCAAATGAATGTTGAAGATCTCGGTAAGATCCGAACATATCTAAATTTCAATGCGCTTTATCTTCGTTAGAGTACTCTTCTCGTTGGAAATGAAGTGCATATTTTGACTAGGGATCAGTAAACATCCAAACCGCACTCCTTTTGATTTTGAGCCGAGTTTTTAGTTCGGAAAATACAAGTTGAACTCGGGTGTAAAATTGCACGAAATAGTTTGCTTGTTTAACGACAAATTATTCACTAACAACAACAATGTCAACGACAAATGTGATAAAAACCTTAACAAGTCAACCACCGCCCACATGTGACACAGCACACACACATCGGCACAGGCTCATCAACGAATTTTGTGCCCGATTGTTCACAATGAATTTGGGCAATCGTCATGGCTTTGATGCGCTCTACTTTTCTCCTTGCCGCTTTTTTATCACTGCAGGTCGTTGGTCCAGCTATTTGATTGTCCTTTGTCGCTGCAACTTTTCAACTTATTGCCATTTCAGTCGTCATGAGTCCTTAATAGTCAACGCAAGCGTAGAGTGAGGTGGTTGTGGAGGGCAAGAAAGGTGGTCAATTGGTTGGATTGTGGTACGAGGAATGCAATAAACGAAACTCACAGTTAACTTATTTATGTTTTACGAATTTTCTCCCAATAACTCGATAGATAACTCAATTGTAGGCACATTTACGAATTGCTGCAATTACTGAGGGTGTGTGTGTGTGTATGTGTGTAACGGAGGGCACCCACATGTCTGTGTATGTTTGTGTATAATCTGCAGGTGTTCATTCAACTTGTCTTGCAGAGAGTTGAAGTCTTTTAGCCAGACAACTGCGTCTAACTACGCTTCGTTGACCAGAAAATAACAAAAGCAACAACAACGTACAGGTTTGTCTCAACAGTGGCTACCAAAAATAAAACAACAAAAACAAACTGTCTAGCTAAATGATAAGCTGCATAATATGTACTTCTAACAGTTTACAAGTACCTACTTCGTGCATGCAACAAAATGTGGCAAGTGCAGTACACTTGAGTGTATGCACTTTGTATGCAGTATATTGTAGTTGCAATTATCGTCCTCTTGTTGTTGCAAGCTGTCGCATATACTTCAACTACACTCTCTTCGTGTCGTATGTTGTTGTTATTATTATTGCATTGCTATTATTATTATTGTACCTTTGTGCAATCGAAAAGTTTGCCACTTTCATCATGCCACATGCGCTTGTGCCTCATTGTTGGCTGCGAGCAAATCGAATTGTAAGTACTTTATGGTTGTTTGCTTTGTTGTGATTGATATTTGTTGTTGCTGTGTTTCGTTGCATTTATTTTTCTGCAATTGCACATATTGTTGTTGATTGTTAAGTTTTGTGTTTGGTTTGTTGGTAAAGTTATAAGACTTGAAACTGATTGAATGGCACACGCTGGTGACATGAAGCCGACTTAGCGGGTCTTGGTAAAAGTATGGGAGATGTGGATAAACACTTATATATTATAGATGTATGTATATATGTTACTCATACATAGGTGAAGCTTAAGAAACGATTAGGTTACTCTGTAAGTTAGTAGCAGGGCCTACAGTGTTACATGAGGGTAGGAATCGACTGAGATTTGAATGAGTTAAAGGGTTCTATAGAGTCCAGTGTAATAAACTCATTCTGTAATTACTGATTAAAGCGTCTCGGATGCTTAGAATCGAAATAGAGTTCCGAAATGGAATATAATAATCAAAAGGAACTCGTCCAGTACTTTAGTACTTATTCAAAAACGCCGAGGTGCAGATAAAGTACATGACTCAGTCTGTATGAAAGCGTTAGTTAAGAGCTTAAGGGAACTCTGCTCAATCTACAAAACGAATAGTCAAAAAAAAAAAAAAAATCCCAAAACTTGTATGGATTGAGGTTTTGTGAAAAAGGTGTATATATTATATATAGCAGACATATAACTTTTTTCTATACGACACTTAGACGTGAATGGAGAACAGGTTTAGTAGGGGAGGACTATCTCCATCTATACCGACGGGTCTAAAATGGACTGCGGAGTAGATGCGGCGATATACTCCAATGATCTTGATATCCCGTTTTCAATCCGCAAGCATCTTCCAAGTGGAAGTACTAGGTATAGAGAAGGCATGTGGAGTTCTATTAAATAACGACGGTAGGATGTAGAAAGCAACAATATACACAGATAGCCAGGCGGCATTTTCGACATCACAGATTAATTACAACGTAGTTCACAATTGCAGAAAGACATTAAGCTCACTGGCAGGTCATCTCCACTTGTCCATAATGTAGGTAATAGAAACATTCATCGGCAACGAAAAGGCAGACGTTTTGATAAAGCCAGGAGCCTTTTTAGATGAATTCGAGGCGGAGTAAATACCATGTCCGCTGGGAGCAAGCAAAGGAGAGCTTTATAGGCATTTTGAACAAATAGCGCAGGAAATAGCGATGGAAATCAATAACTACATATATTGTCCAAGTATGATAGGAATAGTAACAAGAAATACATAATATATGCTTTAACGGGACATTGGCACTTTGGAAAGCATGCACTAAAAATGGGCCTACCTTATAACATTATTTGTTGCAGCTGCAAGCTAGAAGGCTATACGGAAACTGTTTTCTACTTTCTCTGTAAATGCCCAGCTCTACCACAAGCCCGACACAAAATATTTGTGTACAAAACAGGTACGAAACCTTGAATGGGTGTCCACAAAAAACATAATGGATACTGCATCAAAATGGCGCATCCAGCTTTAATTGAGCCCATGGTGGCAGCACAAGAAGTGTGTTTGATGTATAACTTCAAGACCTATTTTGTAGAGCGAAACATTTTGTATTAGAATATCATTTTTTCAAGGCTGTAAGATCACATACTTGTTTCAAAAAAAAAAAAATCTCGTGTTATATATGTATATGGAAAAAGAATTATAAAATAAAGAGCTTGTTTACGTTCCATCCTTGCTTTTAGGGCAAAAACTGAAACATCAGGGGTGCAAAAAACAATTTGGGGAAATAACGGATAACCTAATGTATATAGTATATACATAAATGTACATATACATATGTATGTATTCGCAATATTTGTAGCTACAACATACATTTAAATATCCTCATATATCTGTAAGACAATTTATTTGCAACAGTCCGCCGATAAGCAATTAATGCACAAATTGCATTTTTTCCGACAGACTCACGAAATCACCTATCGGTACACACATGTACATGGTATGCACACTTATGCATATAAATATGCAAATTAAATGAAAAATCTCGTCTGCTTGGAATTTTCATTCAATTTTGTCTACCCTTTTAATTACATACATACATACATATGCATATGAATATAAATATACATACATATACAAGTATAGACATTTATGTGTTGAGCACATGCGAGTAAATTGAAATTGGAAATTATTACAATTGCTACAACAACAAATAGAGCAAAAGTGTCGGCATGTGAGAAAGCAACAAGTGTCAGTCCATTTGTTTGAATATGTTTTTGTTGTACATAACAGCTGCGAACGCAGAACAAGCGATATATGAACATTGCTCGACTGTGATGTTGTTGTTGGGCTTGCGCGACCGCTCGTTAATAAAAAAAAAGCTCCGATCGGACCGGACAAATGACCACTTTACGTATGTCAACGTAATCACATTACGAGCGTGAAATATGAATTGCAGAGCAATAACAAAAACAACAACTTTCAATTATAATAAAAACGAAAAACAACAATTAAAAAATACCTAGCTATAATGAATAAGCGAAAGTAAAAAATAAATCAACAGAAATCTGCAACATATGTACAACAACAACAACAACAAAATTAGCTGTAGGCATTCAAATTGGGAAAAGGCGCAGTTAACTGTGCTCCCACGCACACACACCCAGCTCACCGGTTGGCCAACTGCTTTACTCTATCATGCAGGCCGCATGTCTGTCCAACAGTTGGGCCACTTACATATATGTTAATTCTGTGTATGTAACCGTTATTAGTCGTTAGCTTAGATATTGCCGCTTTGGCTTTGTAGTGTTGTTGTTGGCCGCTGATGGCGAGCGTGTTAATTAGATTTCATAATAAAAATGTAGCCTGCAGGCGCCAGCAATTGGCATAGGCCATGAAAAGTGCGGGGTAGTGCTCGTATTTTAATTTCCGTTCGAGCCGGCACAGCGGAAATGGGCATAAAAATGCTATTTTGTTTTTCTTCAAGTGTTAAAAGGCAGTAAAATTTTGTTACATTTTTGTTGTTGTTGTGTGCTTTAATGATTATAAGAATGAAACAAAAAATCTCATAAAAAAGTTGAGCGTTTTATTGTTGTATAGCCAGGACGAGTGGATTTTTTTATAAAATAAAAAATGTTGCTAAATAAAATTTTTAATTTTAAGTAAAATAGTTTTGCAGTGATTATTATTAAATTTTGTAAACAAAAAAATATAATACGTATTATTTCTGTGTATCTGTCTATCTTCCGAAAATATAAAATACAATTTTTTTTTTGTATAATTCTATTTTTTCGGTTGCTTACTGTAAGTACTTAATTTTTCGTCTTTTATAAATAATCCACTAGCACATTAGGTGTTGCAAAAAATCATATATGTGCGAGTATGTACTATGTATGATTAAAGAGAAGAGCAATTTAATTGCGATTAAAGCAAAATAGACTAAAATAACAAATAAGTCAAAAATGAAAATGAATATAAGAAAGAACGTTAACCTCCGTTGCACTGAAGCTATAATACCCTTTACAAATACACAATATTCCTTACAAGAACTTAATTTTGATCGATAAGTTTGTATGGCAGCTATATGCTATAGTGACTCGATCACAATAATTTCTTCGGAGATTGAACCATTGTTTAAGGGAATAACACATGGCAAATTTCTTGAAGATATCTCATGAAATAAAAAAAGCTCTCCATACAAGCACTTTATTCCCATCCTTCAGTTTGTATGGCAACTATATGCTATAGTGGTCCGATATCGACGATTCCGACAAATGAGCAGCTTATTGGTGAGAAAAGTACGGATGCAGGATTTCAGATCGATATATCTAAAACTGAGTGACTAGTGCGTATATATGCAAACGGATATGCCTAAATCGAATCAGCTCGTCACACTGAACAATTATATATGTATGTACTTTAAAAAGTCTCTGACATTTCCTTTTGATTATTACAAATTTTGTGGCAAACTTAATATATCCTGTGGAGGGTATAATAAACAAAGACTCACAGTTGACACAAAGTTGTAGTTAATCGAATTGCTAGATTATGTTATATTAGACGCTGCAGATTAAACGATTTGTGACTTGCGTGCATATACATGGGTATGTAGGTATATAAATAGAATGCTCGTTGATAAGGCTAAGGTAATATTATATTTCGTATATGTATGTATTTATAACACTGTGTTACAGAACATTTGTAAATTTTTAACATTAACTATATGTAGATTAACTTAATCATGTTGTTAATTATATACTCATTTGTAATGTTTTATAATGCCAAAGTCACGATAAGTTTACGGGATGCCGAATTTGTCAATTTCCAGTATTGAATTTTTGAGTATTTCAAAACTGAACCAATTCTAGGTAACAAAGATTTTACGTTAATTATTTCATTACTTGTTAAGTTATCATGTCATAGACCATTTATTGCTTTTTAATATTTGCCAATTTTCAATAAAGAAATTTCGGAAATCGAAACAATAGCTATTTTCGATTGGTCATTTCTCTACTCTCTTTTAAAAAAAATTATATGTAAAAGCAACAACAAGGTAAAATAAATTATAATAATTTAAATAAAAATAAATGGTTACAACAAAGTTTTTTAACGACAAAAAAAATAAGTTTTCCTCTAAGAAAGAATCATAACACTATTGCGCATGCGCCAGAAGACATGTTAGCGCAGGGTTACACCACAAGTGGTGCCCGTTTGTTTAAGCATCTGGTATAGTTTGTTCGATTCGCTGGAGAGTAACGCTTGGCGAAGCGAAAACAGCTAATATAACAAATATTCTATGTTAAGTTAATCCGGCACTAACTGAATGCAAGTTAAGTTAATTATGTCATACATTACCAACGACTTTTCAAAATTTACCAATTTTCAATCCTGTAATTTCGGGATTTCCGAAACTAAACCAGTTCAAGATAACAAAGATTTTAAGGTAGGGTCGTTAATCAGTCTACTGACATTCATTTATTTACAATGCCAAAGACATGCATAATTTTCGGCATACCAAATTTGATAATGTTCAACTCCAAAATTTCGACATTTCAGAAACTTACGAGTAATTTGCTATTTCTAAGTGCGTAACCTAGCAGTGCAATTAAACTATATTTTCAATCATCACAATATGTACTACAGGAAAATAGCTCAGAAGTTCCTCAAGCATTCATATTTCGTAAACATATCAGAAAACTGTGTACATATTTGTGATGAAGTGACTTTGCGATGTAAAGAATGATTATCGTAGATTCGAATTATATCAAAATAACCATTTTTGCTTTAAAGTAATATTTAGAAAAGTAATATCTAAGAAGTTTAATATTTATAATTTCGATTATTAAAGTATAGTATAAATATAGATATATATACTTGTATATTGTGGTTAGTCATTAATTGATATGATATGAATTCTAAGTTCACTGCAATTTGTTGCATAGTGTTTTTAACAAGTTCAATTGTAATTGTATGTATTGGGACTGCATTCTACAATGTAGATTAAAAATATATTGGGTGTCAGCGCTTCGCAGGGCATGCAGTTTAATTTTCACATTGCAAGTGTCAAGTGCGGCAATTTCTTTAATTTCAAGTGCAATGTTGTTCTTCGCAATTTTGTTGTTATTTTTCATCATAGCGCTGCTAAATTATGTCACCATGCTGCGCATGCGTCGTGGTGCACTCCACAATGTACCTGGGCCTTACTGCTATCCATTTATAGGCGCAGTGCAAATATATCTCGAGCTTAGTATGAATAGTAAGTGAAATTCGAAAGGAAATTCAAAATTAAACCTTAAATAAAATTATTAAAATCTTCGCAGACATGCTGGAGCAGATGTTGCAGTTGCACGAGCGACATGGCAGTGTAATGGCTGCTTGGGTGGCCAATTGTATATCGGTTTCCAGCATCGATTTGGAAATGAACGAACAAATTTTGGCCTCATCACAACACATTGCCAAGCATTCTAACTACAAAATGTTGCATCAATGGCTGGGAACTGGGCTGCTGCTGAGCGATGGCCGTAAATGGCTTGCACGCCGAAAGATTATAACACCCGCCTTTCATTTCAAGATATTGGAACAGTTTGTCGAGGTTTTCGATCAGCAATCGACGATATTGTTGAGTTGTTTGGCGAAGAAAGCCGATGGCCGCAAAGCCTTTGATGTCTATCCCTTTGTTTGCTTGGCCGCACTGGATATTATAGCGGGTAAGAGGAGCTGAGAGATTTCGGTAATAATGTTGTTGTAAGTTTTGTTTTGGTATTGAATGTTTTAGAGACAGCGATGGGCACTAAAGTGGGAGCGCAAACTAATGCGCGGACTGAATATGAGTTGGCTGTGAATAAGTGAGTATCAGAGCTCAACGAAATTGTTTGACAAAATAAAAAGACTTTGTCGGGTCTGTCGTGTTAGGCCATATACTCATTTTAATGATTACATGGTTGCCAGTAGTATACAATCTTTTATAAGAGAACTAAAATAAACAGCCTTACAAATTTTATAGCGGAGTAGAAGTAAAAATTTGAGTTTGTGAATATTTATGGGTAAGGTTGCCACCTATTTACAATTTTAATTAAATTATACATTTTATTTTTGAATAAAATATCGTAAAACCATTAAAAGATTAACAGTTAAAAATATTTTTGTGAAGTGTTGCCACCTGTTTGCAATATCTTTTTTCAACAGGATTGATAAAAAAAACGAAGCGGTAAAAAGTGAGTATTAAACTGTAAAGATTTGAGAAAACTATAAATTTAAAATTTGCTTTGAGGACGGTTGCCACGTGTTGAAAAATATTAAATATTTATAACATTACGAATTACTAGGAAAAGGACATTCGAAAAAGCGGTTTGGGAAGGTTTATAAGAGAAAAAATTTTTCCGAAAGCGGAGCCACCTGGTTAAATGTTGTATTCAAAAAAATTATTAAAATTGAGAAATTTTTGCAATATTGGCATAAGATTAAACCATTTTGTTTATATATTTTCATATAGTTTGAACATAAATTGTTTTATAAAAATTAATAAGATTATAATGTTTCAGGATAATTCAAAAAAATCCGGAGCAAATTTCTTAACATCAATTAATTTTCTTTTCACTAAAAATACTACCAATTTAAATTTCGAATCTTTTTACTTTCAGAATCACAAAACTTATCGCTTGGCGTTTAACTAAATTCCATCTCACCAATGAAATTTTATTCAGCATCTTCTGTCCCCACCTCAAGTGGCAGCAAATGCGACTCATCAAAACGTTGCATAAGTTCACCACCAATGTGATAAAACAAAGACGCGAGGCACTTGAAAAAAATCGAAGAGTAGTTACGGTGGCTGAAGATTTAATGGCAGACTCCAACTTCGGGTGCAATAAGAAACGTATGGCTCTGCTTGATATGCTGCTTCAGTCCACGATCGATGATAAACCGTTGTCCGATGAAGATATACGCGAGGAAGTCGATACTTTTATGTTCGAAGGCCACGATACCACAACTTCGGCAATCTGTTTTATACTACATTTACTATCACGCCACCCAGAGGCACAACAGAAGGTGTTGCAGGAAATCGCATCTGTTCTGGGTGATGATCGTGAGCAAGCGATCAGCTTGCGTGAACTTAATGAGCTGAAATATGTCGAATGTGTTATTAAGGAGACACTCCGTCTCTATCCAACCGTGCCGCTTGTGGGCAGACAATTGACAGAGAACTTCAAATATAGTGAGATGTATTTATTTTTGTTTAATCATTAAATTATTTAGAACATTTTATGCAGCTCATTCTCAGATTGGAAATGGCATCATACCTTCGGGCACTGAAGTTCTTATCAATCTTTATGGCATGTTTCGCCAGGCACGTTATTTTGAGCGCCCCAATGACTTTGTGCCTGAACGTCATTTGAGTAATAAGTGCGAAAGTGCATTTCTTTTCATACCCTTCAGCGCTGGCCCTCGTAATTGTATCGGTCAGAAATACGCTATGCTGGAGATGAAGATGATCATTGCCAAGATCGTGCGTGAATACGAGCTGCTGCCCTTCGGCAAAGCTGTGCAACCAGAATCAAATATAGTTCTGCGCTCAACTACGGGTTTTCAGTTGGGCATGAGAAAGAGAAATTGAAGGATTTTCACAACATACATATTGTATTTAATTATCTTTTAGAATATTGCCTGATTTTTTTTTTATTTTTTACGAAAGCGATGAAATAAAATGTGGAAATATACGTTTTTAAGAATTTTCCTTAAAGTATCTCTTATAAAACTCGGAAATCCTAGAATTAAGAGAGAGAGAGAGAGAAGTCTTATCTACTTCTATAGCTATTTTATTAGCTCAATGAGTAACGGATCTTAAAACTTATTTTTATCTACATAAAATCGTTTTCAAAAACAAAAGTTTATTTAGCGAGTCTTCATTCGACATGATCAAGCTAACATATTCCGAGACCTGATCAGAAGAAATAGCTTCTAAGAGGCTGGGCAACTGTAAAGCCAGAAATGAAATTTGTTGTGATAGTTTGGATTACTTTCAAAAGAGAGTTGTCGCAAGACAATACAGTGCCTTTCTAGAAATAAAAATAAGAGAAACTTTTACACAATGTCAGAAATAATCAAGTACTACAAAAAAACTACAAAATTTTTGTTCATATCTTGAGATTCTCGTCTCTGCGGCAAATATTTTGTCGTTAGAAAAATTTCTTAACTGTTGGAGATTACAAACTACTTGTAGATCAAACAATTTGTAAACCACACATCTTAAGAACCTTTTGGTGCGCCCGCCATTTTTGATGTCTCTTTATTTTAAAGAAAATTATCAGTGCTTTACGATTTTTCATTCTGGAACTCTTCATTGCGGTAAAATACTTTTACTTAAAATTTGCAGAGTTGCACTGCTCCAATATGGATTAAAAGCAGTAATGAGATTTGAGTGATCACTATATATATTTGAACTTTTAGTCATGGGTTAAGGAAAATACAGTAGGATTTTTGCAAAGCAGACCTAAAAAATCATTCGAGTCAATCAATTTATGCTAATCTCGGGCACTGCGTCATCATGTTGGATGTTATTGTGATGTTGGGAATACGAAAAGCAAGAACAGCCATAAGATTTCAGGAAGCACTACATCTATATTAGGCAGCGCTAGGAAATGAATGCAGGAATTCAAAAGGATGGATTCGACAAAAAATAAAGAATCATCTAGAAATTTAAGGTATTCCAAAAACATGGAGTCTATTATATACGAACAGAATATCTTTAAACCTGATTCCATAACAAAATGTTCAAAAACCTTACCAGCTTTATCAATAGTAACCTTAATTTTCGTAATTTCCGCTAAAAAAAATTTCCGTTACATTTGGGCCACAACGGGTTAAAAAGTCATTAGTGTGTCACCTCAGTTCGCAAACTTGTAGTTCAAGCTCTGCTCCGCTCCGCTCATCTCCGGCTACACGCTTGCGAAATTAATTTCCGTAAATTGTTGTGGTTACTATTGTTGACCTGCTGAAGCAGTTGCTAATGCTGTTCCACTTGTTTTCAGGCACAAGCATCCGAATTTGACTCGATGCTCTCTCAATTCAAGATTTTTACCAGACAATTATGGTTGTCTCGTTCGCGCACGCTCCCTCACACATTACTGCTAATCTGCGAACACCATCGTTTGTCGTTTGGATCAGCAAATAAATAAAATCGCTGAACCAAAACAAACACAAGACGCTGGCGCTTGATGTTATTAAATTTTTGTGTATATCTCCATCTAAATATATGTACTTACGCTCTCACATACATAAAATACAAACCTCTTTTGGACCCAAACAAGTGATTTGTCAGTAAAGAAAAGCTCATCTTTATTGACGGCATCGTCAAATTTTTTGTGTTTTGGTAATATTGTATATGTATGGTAGATGTTGGCTCTCGAGTGGAGCAAGTAGTCGATAGATAGATAAATTTTTATGAATTAACACATTGGGAACACAAATAAATATTAACGAAAAAAACATAATTAAATTAACAGTAACGGTAGAGAGGGCGCTCAGGTGCGGCGTAGCCAAAATATATGGAGTGGAAGCCGCATTGAGACAGCAGCTGTCGACTGCGCAGTCGTGACGCAGTTGATCGTGTGTACAGGTCGCACAGTCTCCGGCTGAACAGCAATAGCAAGAGCAGCGGTTGCTGGCTTCGAAGCGCCGAGTTCGGTTCAGCTGCATTTCAGCTTTGTTTTTCATCTTTCGCTGTAGGAAACTTTCGGTTTTTAGTTTGTTTGTTTCAGTCACTTCGACGTGTTGTATTGCAATATGATTGTAATTTGCATATTCATTTCGTTGACAATCGTTTCGGCGTTGAATTATGTTAAGACGCGTAGGAAACGTGCGCTCATTACGAATCTAAGTGGACCCTTGGCGCTGCCGCTAATCGGTTCGGTGCAGAAGTTCTTGCTGCTTACGCCAAGAAGTGAGTTTGGTGTTTTTTTGGAGGCAAAAGAGGTTTTTTGTTTTAGTCAAGTCACCAAGTTAAGTGATCGAAAGTGTCGTAAGAAATCGTGAAAACCCATTTTGGTGAAAAATGTAAACGAAGCGTCGTGGTGTGGTGTCGACACAGTGTCGTATAGGCACTGTCAATAGTTATCTTCGTGGAAAGAAAGAATATATTTGTAAAAACCTCTATGATCGTCTGAAAAGTTTTGAATTGAGCACAAAGTTCAAAAATTTATAGTACCAATGAAGTGTGTTTAGTCTGAAACGAAATTTTAATAACATTTTTCGGGCAACAGTAGTCTCAGTGTTCGGAAATGGTTGTGGTATGTTGAGGTATCTATTTATGTAGCGAGTTCATGAAACTGAGCGAGAGAGAGAGAGAGAGAGAGAGAAGACTTTAAGAAGAGTTACAGCCTTAAAGAATTCTATATAAAACCGCTCATTTTAATCTTTTTTGCATTTGGCATTGTTAACCTCCTTTTCTTTTGAATTGCCTTCAGAAACAGTAATTTAATATATGAAAGTGAAATTTTCACAGATTTTCTCGTCAAGTCACGCAATTATCTCAACAAGTTCGGCACCTTCTCGCGTTGCTGGGTCTTCGATCGGCTCTTCATCCTCACCGCCGACTACGAGTTTGTCACACAACTGCTACACAGCGCAGATCATTTGAATACAGGCTACAACAATCTGTTGCAACCGGTCTACGGTGTGGGAATTTTGAGACGAGATGCCGACGAATGGCAAAAACGACGTCAGTTGATCACGCATGCGTTGCACCTACAGAGACTGAGTGAATTTGCGAAGGTATTTGCAGCACAAACACAATTATTGGTGGAGCGCCTACGCGAAGAAAGTGATGGTAAAAGCAACTTCGATATACAACCATATGTGCAGAGAGTGGTGCTCGATGTGCTCATTGAAACTGCAGTGGGCGTGGAGAGCAAAGAGCAGTGTGCGCAAGCGCAGCCGGTGTATGGAGAGTATACGCAAACTGTGTTGGCGTAAGTTGATACAAATAGTTGATTGAAATTTGTAGAAATTTTATTACTTTTCACTTTCTTTGACATTTTAGGCTCATCGAGCTTTTTAAGTCGCGTTTTCTTAGCTTACATTCCGCGAATGGCACAATCTACAGCATACTTTGTCCGCTGCTGAAGCGACGACAGCAGCGGCTATTGAAGACGCTCAACCGCATAAATACCGAATTGATTTTAGAGCAACGTGCAGCCTCTAAAACAGCGCCAACGACTGATAAGTCCAATGTCGCGATCTATACGATTCAAGTGCATGAGTCACACAACGAAACTGTGCCGCTGCGGTTTGACACACTTTTGAAACAGCTGCTTGCTGCGGAAATCACCGGCGAGCCGCTGAGTAATGCGGAGATCTGTGAAGAGCTGAATACCTTCGTCTTTCAAGGTTGCCTACTAACACCGGCGGCGATCTCATTTGCGCTTGTCGCGATCTCACGACATCCGAGCGTACAACAAAAAGTACTCGAGGAATTACGAAGCGTGTGGCCGAAGGGTACGCCGTGCATCTGCACGCTGGAGAATTTAATGAAGCTGAAATATTTGGAGTGTGTTATCCAGGAGACGATGAGACTGTATCCTCCGCAGCCGATTATAGCGCGCGATCTCAAGCAAAATTTCAGTTACAGTAAGCTTAAAGTTCTTTCAGAAAAGAAGTATTAAGCCGAACTATATATATTTCGTTACAGCACATTCAAAGGTCAAGGACGGCGTTTTACCCGCCGAATCGGAAATCTATATAAATGTCTTTGAAATGCTGCGTCAACCTGAAAGCTTCGTAGATCCTGCATGTTTTCGCCCGGAGCGCTTTAGTTGTGCCGAAAATACAGACATGCTTGCCTGGGGTCTCGGTCCACGGAACTGTGTGGCGCGAAAATACACCATGCTGCTGATGAAATCTGTGATTGCGCATTTATTACTAGCCTATGAAGTACTGCCTCTTGGCGCGGAGCTCTGTTTGGAAGTGAAAATCATTTTGTGTTCCTCGAGTGGTTGGCAAGTGGCGCTAAGGTCGCGCGATGATTAGTTTTATAGGTTCTCAGTATTTTTTTTTAAAGTAGGGGTACTTGGGGGTTTTATAATATATAATATATGCATTTAATAATAAAATATTTATAAACACGTACAATAATGGTCGGAAATGTTTTATAGCTCTTTCATCGTTACGTCTATATTTGCGAAACCATCAACTCATCACAGGTACTAATACATCATGAATCATAAAACAGAATCAATGGGATCTACAATCTGTAGATATGAAGAATGAGGAGACTTAGAGATCAGTTTATACTTTTTATATAATATCTGTATTCAATCTGATTACTGTATAAGACAGTAATATTTGTTGAGACCGAAACGGCTGACCGATCGACTTCAAATTTTCACATGACTTTTCGAGATATATTTGTCAGATAATGATCGCAGAAATAAGATTTTTGATAATAATTTCGATTTTTTTAAACTACTCAGAATTTTTTTTCACAAAAACACGACTTTTTTGGGAAGCCGCAATTTTGTAGAAAATCAAAATTTTGGCTAGACTTTCGGTTTTTGGATTTGATATATTTGTAAGCAGAAAAATCTCACCACATATATTTTTGCGGAGGTCCTCGTGGTGGTTAGCTACCGCATGTACAGTGTCTACCAATAGGGATGACGTGATTTTGACAGCTCATGGCGGCCATGTTTGTTTATGGATTTGCATCAATTTTCGAGCTCTTAGCTTAAAACACAATTTTCTCAGATGATGCCCATTTCTGACTGAATGGCTTCGTCAACAGACAAGATTCTTGCTATTGGAATGAGTTAAATCCTCGTGTGGTTCAGGAAACGCAACTGCTTCCCCAAAAATCGACCGTTTGGTGTGGATTGTGGAATGAACGCATCATCAATAGCGAGCGTTATAGCACGAAACATTGTGTGCAAGTTTCCCGACTCGTTAATAACGAGAAATGTCCCAGTCAATGACCTTCAACTACATGTGCTTTAACGCTTCTAAATTATTTTCTCTGGGTGTATGTATGTTAAATCAAAAGTTTACGCCAACCAACCAGCAACACTCAAGGAGCTCGAGGACAACATTAAGCGGACTATAGCCGAAATTGCAGTCGAAATGCTGCACCAGCTCATCGAAAATTGGCGTAAACGGGTTGAGATATGCAAACGGAGCCGTTGTTAAAATCATAAATGGCTTAAAATTATCTGCAATATTTGCATATCTGCATATGTAAATATACATTATTTTTAATTATTTATAAAAAAAAATTTCTTTAAAGAAATTTACGTAAAAACACTTTTCTTCTGACTTTCAAGTGAATGTAATCCCTTAAACTACTCATTGACACCAACAAATACATTCCACAATGTTGCCGCAACATGTTGCTTTTATGTCATTGCATATAATAAAATAAACATGCAGAATTTGAATTTAAATAAAATAAAATGAAATAAAATAACTTTAAATAAAATAAAGTAAAGTAAAATATAATAAAATAAAATAAGATACAAATAAATAAAATGAAAAAATATGAATTGAAATTTTAAAAAATTTTAAATATGTAATTTCAAAATTCTACTAACTGCGCACAGGTCAAGTGTAAGTAAAGTTTATCCCATCAAGGTGCGATTGCACATCATATTTCTTTTCAGAGATGGGAAATGGAGGGCTTTAAGTATTTTTGATCAGTTGGATATGGATCCTAGGTCTTCTTAAAATATTGCTGAAATAATGAACACATTTTTGTATCGAAAATTGAACATTTGTCCTTGTAACGTTAAACTATACAAAATCTTGTAATATTTCAGCATGAGACTAAACGATATCATCCAAAGACTACGAAATTCGTTAGCGAAGTCCAATTGGGTCTTCCCATGACTGGTCACTCTATGTGGTATTGTTTCGCGGAAAAACTAGACTACAGCAATTATTAAATTATTTAAGGGATATATGTATTCATAATATTTAATTTTTATATGACATTGCACCATATAACCATAAGAATGATGTTTAACCCATCGCCAGTATTTAATTATCTTAGATCTTTAATTTTAGTTTATTGATTAGTTGCCGTCTTCAAATACCACTAAACCTACACATTACATATTTGACATTCAATAATACTCAATACATTTCTGCTATCCAATTACGCTTAATGCTTTCACCTCCTCTCTACTTGCCTTCTCTTCACTTCTCTCTATTAGCGCCACATCAATAATTTCTTACCCCGAAAAACATTTCATCATTTCTTAACGTTCGATGCCGGGTAAATCGACATTGATTGGCCAAGACCGAAAATTTCAATACATACAAAAGGAGTGGTGTTAGAATGTGATTTCTCCAAGGATGTCGTGTACTCAATACATTACACACACACACATACAAACATTTGTGTAGCATACACAAAGGCAGGCAGATATCGAGCTTCGACAGCAACAAGAAAGCGAGCAGCAAAACTTGGCAACAGAAACAACTTTGGTTGGAGGTACACATACACACATACATCTACTATACTATTTGTATTAATATGTGTTAGTATGCATTTATGTCGGTGTGTGTGTGTGTGTAGGTTGCGCACATGCTCCCTACATTCGTCCGCTTTATTAGCAAACAGACAGCCAGTAAACTCAACGCTTGTAGGGTTGGTGTAGGTGGTGGTTGTTGGGGGGGGCAAGCAGTCAACATTATTTGCAACGCAATTGAAAAGTGACGATAACATCGGCCAAAATATAAGTTGCTGATAGACAATGTATACATATATATGTATACATATGTTTGTGATAAATATGTGTATGAATAAGCAATAACGAATTGCTTTTGAAATAAGTGAAAAATAAAATTGCTTTGTATTGACACATCGCGCTTCTGATATACTCGAATTCACTCACGAACCTTCACTGGTAATAACAGCCCCAGTTAACGGTAGTGTAACAGTCGCTGTTATAGTGCCAATATCCTTAACAGTGGCATTAACAGTGGCTGAATAGCTTTGTGGTAATAGTCGAGTGCCAGCTGCTGAAATCAGTTTGTTTGTGAATTTAAGATGGAAAGGATGTGTTAATGCTGCCGACGGAAGAAAATTTGTAAAATTTACGTAATAAGAAAATAGGATCCTAAAAAATAGGGATTCAGATTTTGAATTAGTGCTAATAAATTTGAAGCCATCAGATATTTAACATAACTTATTTTTTACAAGAAATAGTTTTGCCCGTAATTTTATATAATTTGACTTTTGAGCTTTTAGCGAAGGGTTTTCACTTTTAGTAGTCTTGAATAATAAATGAGAGATTTTCACACTGTCGTTTATTATGAGTAAATATATGTATTATTTCCAATAAGCGTAGTTAGGATAATTCAAAAAGCTTACGAGATATTAAGTTGATTTAAATACACAAATAACTTTTTCTTATGAGTTCTGTGCTAAATACACTATTGGTAATTGAGTTTTAGCAAGTTATATATTTTCGGATAACCGACCGTTTTGTGGGTCTAGCAATTGCCCGGATCCGAACAGTTGCGACAGCAATACTTTTATAGCAATAAGAAATATGTTTATCAAGCTTCATAAAAATATAATGATCGAAAATATTGGTTTGCACGGACGCATAGGCGGACGATCGGAAATTGATCTATCTCGTAAGCCTGATGACTTATGCAGGGTTTTCCAATAAGAGTGATATGATCTTTTTTCACAAAAAAATAACACACTTATTGTTAAGAGAATTCAAATGATTGTTATTTAATGTGAAGTACAATCGATACCATTAAGTACGACGGCTTTTGCAGGAAGGAATTCGATGAACCCATTTTTAGAGTACTTTTTTCACTAAATCAATTCGTATGTCATGAATACCACTTTTAATATCGCCTTCTAAAGCTTGAGGAGAGTCTGCTTTATTGCTAAAGACCAATGCCTTCAAATAACCCCACAAGAAGTAGTCTAATGGTGTTACATCACAACTTCTTCGAAGCCATTCAATGTCACAAGTTCTTGAAATTATCGAATCTCCCAACTTTTCTTGCAATAATTCGCTTGTTGCACGTGCTGTGTGGCATGTAGCCCCGTATTGTTAAACCAGATATTGTCAAGATCAACTTCTTTCAATTGCGGCCATAAAAACTTGGTTATCATTGATCCATACCGTTGTTGTTGTTGTAACGGTTATCTAATATCTATACCGCTCTCCATTGACAGTAACGGTGTCACCAGCTTCATTTCGAAAGAAGTACGGACCGATTATTCCAACAGATCAAAATCCACACCAAACGGTCAATTTAGGTGAATGTAATGGTTGTTCATGAATAATTTGTGGATTTTCTTCGCACGAGAATCGACAGTTTTGGTTATTTACCGCACCAATCAGATGAAAGTGAGCCTCATCGGAGATTGCAAAAGAGCAAAAGAACGATTATTTCGATAATAAAATTGAAAGACAAGATTTCATACTACTGTGAATTATTGCTGAATCTCAAGAAAATCGATCGATTTCTGAAGCGGGTAATAAAAAGTTGGTCACTTACGACTACTTCAAGCGAAACGATCGTGGTCGAATAGCGGTGAGACGGCGAAAACGGGGGTCAAGCCAGGATTGATGGTCAAAAAGGTTTTGCTATGTGCTTGTTGAGATCGGTAGGGAATGACCTACTATGAACTGCTTCACTACGACCAAACTCCTAAATCAGACCTGTACAACATTTGGACCGTCTAAAGGAAGCAATTGCTCTGAAGCAGTTATCTAGCTTTGGCTATTAGGAAAGTTATTGCGTTCCATTAGGAACATAGGCTACAAGTAATCACTGTTCGTGTTCATGGCGAATATTTTTTCTGGCGTCTCAAGAGAAGGTAGTGAAATTCGACTGTACCATTTTTTGCCAATAGGGACGATTGTCGTCATAGAGTGGTATTATGAAATTATCTTCAAAATATCAACATGTTATGTAGTCTAATGACTAAATCGGTCTATATAAAGAGTCAACACTAAAATATGCATATGTTTTTTATAAGAATATGCTAAAATAGCTAAAATTTAGTGAAAATGCCTTACGAAAATGAAATGAAAATAAATTGAGAAAAAAAATTTATATCATTAAGAGCAAAAATATTGAAAAAATTCCTTACAATCTAAACAA